AGCTGCCTCTCGGGCACTTGCGGCTGGTGAGGGCAAGGCGTGTGGGCAGGCCCCGGATGATGGGATCAGCAAGGAGAATAGCGCCGTGGGCGTGAGCAAGTGTCTGAGGCTGTCCCATGGACACCTAGGGAGGATTGTTTCCACGCAGAAAAAAGCAGGAGGGAGACATGATTCACGAGGAACCACACAATTGGAGATGCAATGGAGGTCAGGTTTAACCCTGTGTGAAGCTAGCAAACATCACTGTTTATATTCGTCACTGAATCAGCCAGGATGCATGGGGACCCCCGTCATCTTGCGACATTCACGAGTTCACTGTCGTGGCCACACTGTGCCTTGGCCTACATGAACGCAGGTGGTTCATCTCCTGGCACCAGGTCAGATGCTATTTCATCAGCTAATTTTGGGAAGTACCCAAAATTATTAGACCACCCTGGGCTCCTCTCCTGGTATCTGAAACACCAGTGGCCTAGCTTGCAGTAGTATAGCAACCCGTGAGCCACTGTTGGGCTGTGCACCACAAGGTCAGCAGTTGGAAACCACCAGTTCCCCCGTGGGAGAAAGATGAGGCTTTCTACTCCTATAGAGTTATAGCCTTGGAAACTCACAGGACAAGGACAAGCCTTGTCCTACAGGGTTGCTATGAATCCAAATAGATTCAATGATAGTGAGTTTCTTCTTTCGCCTCCCTTCTGAGAGATCAATAGTGCACACATGCCCAGAATGTCTCTCCTACGAGACCCAGAGCACAGATACAGGGATCTAGAAGTAGTGTTAGACACCGAGCTCAACTTTTGCAGTTGAGGACGCTGGAGGCCTGGGGCAGTGAAGGCTACCACCAAGCGGTGGTACAGGTAAGACTAGAACCTCCCAACTCATAGCTCCTTACCTGTCCTACGCAATCCACTACCTAGGAAAGCCTCAAGGAAAACAAACTCCCAGAGGCTCACCAAACCCGATAAACTAGTTCTGACATGCAGGCTGTAACCATTTCATACCATCACTAAGGGAAATAGGACCAGATCACTCTCCGGGGACTTGCCCGCAAGCTCCTGTTCCTCCACAAGTGGCAGAGCCTTAAAAAGTGCTTCTCTCGGTAACAACCTAATTGCTGCTTCCCTGCTGGCCTCGGCGCGCACTCTGTGCCAAGCTCTGGCTCCTATCCAGCGCCTCCTTCAGGCAGGAGCCAAACCCCAGACTCCCTTGTCCTAGGAATTGGTCCAGAATGGCCTAGTGGTCAGCGAAGAGGAGCGTTGAATCACAACCTGGGAGGCCTGGCTGCCTAAACTTCAGCTGCCTGGGTGGTCTTCCAGGACCCCTCTGTGGAGACCAGCCCGAGCTCCGCAGGGAAAGGAAAGGTTCGTTTCAGGATGAGGTGCTGGCGGTTGCAGTGGGTGCCAACGCTGCCCTTTCATTTCTAGAACTGGGGAGAACTTGATGCCCCAGCACATGAATGCCATGTGTGTCTCATTCTTCAGGAACAAGCTCTGTTTTTCTAGAACCACACAGACTCCCGATGCCCGGGCAGAACTCCTATTTGCACCCCAGCAGGTGAGGCTAAAACCACGACGGGGTGTGAGCAAAGGCAGGTGACTTCTCTTTTTCAACAGACTTCACAAGGTTTCTCTCAGTCTTCCCCTGGAGGCACAGGGCTGAGTTGGTACAGGCATGGCCACTCGGGCATCCGAGATGAGTATTGGTATTGCCAGGAGAGGCAGGCCAGCTCTGTGATTTCTGTGTGGTTGCATTTCCTGCCAGTTTTCAAGGGGGGTGGGTAGGGCATATATGTCCAAAGATGCCGATTCCACTCCTCAACATCTGAGTCTCAAGTGAGTCATCGTCAGGGACAGAGTGATATTCATTCCTTTTGTACTAGCTACATAGCCTCCTATCATCTTGCAAAGGGGTGGAGTCTAGCCTGTCAATCAGGTGAGGCCTCTGTGTGGGCATGGCCTTCTCCTGTCTTCCTCCCTGGGGGCGGGACACACTCTCTCTGCTTGACATTCCTGGTGACAAGTCACATGGAGTTACACTGATGGCGCAACAGCCCTGGAGCTGGAAGAGCTGCGTGGAGACCCCTGCCAACACCGAGATGCTTCCACCACCACTGGGTCCACCAGACTTCCCACCCACTGGCCTGTGATCTTCCTGCATTTGGTGTCATTGCATGTGTTGTGTGAGTGTGAAGAGGAATTTATAGAGTGGTATTTGACATATGGGCTAATATTGGACTTATGGACTTGATCTGGACTGTTTTCTTAATGTACAATTACTCTTTATATAAAGCTCTTTCTTATACACATATGAGTGTCTATGAATTTGTTTCTCTAGTCAACCCGGACTAACACACCTTTACTGCGAGCCTCCCTTCATATGCTGTAGTGGTGTGTATCACCGATGATAACTTTAGCCTTCGAAACCCTCCGAGGTGCCCTGCAGACCCACAGTGGTTGCCAGACATAGTTTGGGAAACCCATTAAACTCAATGTCTTTCTTTCACTTGAGGTGACAATCAGCACTAACAGCATTTGAGACATGGAGACACCGGACCCTGAAAGTAGGTGGCATCACTTGGCTATTAGGTCATCATCACCACGTCTCATGGTGTACATAGTGAATCTTTTTTTTTTTTTTTTTTACTAAAGTTATTGCTTTTTTTTTAAGTTATTGCAATTTAACAAAAAGACCTAAAAACTCTTTTTGGAACTCAACCCCCTGCCTACCCTCCACTACCATCTTTCAGGAATGCATAGATGGTCTTTATTGAGCAAAGTTATTGACAAGTCTTTCCCCTAACAAGCAAGACCTCTATCTAAGACAAGAGCAGAAGCTCTACCTGGCTGGGAGTCCCTGTGTGAGACAGAAGATGAACAGTTCAACTGCTGGGAGATGTGAACCCTTTTGCTGTAAACAAATTGCCCTGTGGTTCCGCTTCCTGAGAGCTTGACCACATCTGAGGTCGATGAGCGAGGGCCAACCAGACCAACTTGCACAGTGAGGGAGCTCTGAGACTGATGAAAGGCTCAGATGGCCATGTGGCAAGGCCAATACAAACCTTGGAAGACGGTGGCTTACTGGAGCTTCCAAGCTAGAGAGAATGAACATCGACCCTCCAAGAGGGAGTTCTGTGTTGAGGTTGCTCCCGTCCCAAACCAGATTTACATCCATTGAGTTAATCCCGACTCTTATTGACCCTATAGGACAGAGGAGAACTTACTCTTACGAGTTTCTGAGAGTATAAATTATGGGAGTAGAAAGCCTCATCTTTCTCCCCTGGTGCTCTTGTGGCCACCAGGAGCCTGTGTGAAGCTGGTGGTTTTGAACTGACCTTGCACTTAGCAGCCCAACTCATAACTCACTATGCCTCCAGAGCTCTTAAGCCCTCTCCTTGAGCCACCCCCACCCCTTGTGTTGGATTAAAAAAAAATTATAAAGACAGTCTTCCCCCTCAATTTTGTGAGTTGTTCCATCAGATGACCAAACCTAAGACATAGAGAAGAGACTGGTAAACCTGCTGACATGGCCCCAGGTAATAGCGATGAGAGAAGGAACCAGTGCCCATGGGCGTGGCCCTGGGAGAATGGGATGGGAGAGAAAGGGCTGCCTGAAGGAGCTGGTGTTGGAAATGACCAGGACAGGGAAACTGAGATTCCACAGACTGGCCTGAAACTCAGTTACCACTGCTGATGAGAGGCTGGAGGTCAGTGTCCATCCAGAGACCCTTTGGAAGAAAGGCCGGGTATGGACTTTTGAGAAAGAATGCATTTGAAAACCCTGTGGTGTCCACTTCTACTCTGACACACATGTGGCGTTGCTGTGAGTCAGACTCGACTTGATGGCAGCTGGAGGATCTTGCTTGGGCTGTGGTTCCCAGGGCAGGTCCCATGGATGTGATATCACACCCTCCCACAGCCATCTCCTGGTGCTCTGGGTGGGGGCAGAACGGTGCAGGAGGAGCCATGTGCCTAAGCAGTGATATGGCATTTACACATTATCTTCAGAGGAAAGACAGGCCTACTGGGGAGCAAGAGGCATGCAAGGGGAGCAAGTCTCAAACTGGTAACTTGCAGATGTTGTAAGGAAAATAGACATAACTCAAAGGGAAGATGGTAGAAGCCTTGGTGTGAAAGCCTGGCTGTCATCCCTCCAGAGATGGTGGCTGGTGGGTGATTCCCCTGTCTGCGTGCTGGCTCTCTCCATACCACACCCTAGTGTGCCCCCCACCCCATCCCCTGAAGCCACTTCCTGTTATGGCTGAGGTTCCCACGTGTCTCCCTTCTCCTTTCTTCTTCCTTTCAAACCCACTACTCTGTACTCTGTGTCTACCGCTAAGAGGTTTGATTTTTGAATCACCACTCCAAGACCTCTTGTTTGAAGGGTCATTTGAATTTATTAACAAACCAGAGGAGACAGCACAAAACAACCAAGAAAGGTCAAGGGCAATGGGTAAGGATTCGTTCCACCTGATTCTCTAGTGCTTCCTGGAATAAAGCAACCTTTCTTCTGCCTTGTGCACAGTGCTTCTGAGACAGTGTATGTGTGTGTGGGTGAGGTGGGTGGCTGCGTTTGTGTCTTGCGCCAGGCACGGGGCATTTCTGCTTCTGTGTTATGGGGGACACACTCTCCTCCCTCCCCTGGCGTCCCTATGGGAAACCTCCCTCAGCAGAATCATAATCCTGTACCTCTAAGACCCACGAAGGGCAGGGGGACGGGGGTGTGGGGGTGGGGAAGGGCTCTTGAAAACCATTTTCCCAGTTTGCAACTTTTCCACTTCTTGGGATGGTCCACGTGATTTTGTTTGAAATAGAACATTCAGAGACAGATGGGCAAACCAAGCTCATCGGATACTATTGTTCTTTTTCTTCTCTGCTGCATAATAGCCAAGAGGTAGGTTTCCCCCTCTCACACTCAGAAGAGAACACAGTAAGACCTCACATTAAGAATTTTGAAAGGCATGAGTACACACACTCTTATGTGCTCCTCACAACAGCCTTGGGAGGTCTGTGTGTGTGGGGGTGGGGGTGGGGGGCTGGGGGCAGGCATCTCCATTCCAGGGTCCAGAGGACAGGGTTGTCACTGGTGGAGGTCTCAACTACTGGCCCAGAGATCTTCCTACTGTGCAGGCTGAGCTGGTGAACTGACTTCAGGGTGTGCAGTGCAGCCTTCGTGCTCACAGTACATGAAGCGTCCATCGAGCTTGCAAATAAAGAGGATGCGAAACACGGACCTCCTCAGCGAGCTCAGGGGACACACACACCTGCTCACAGCTCAGCATCAGAGGGATGCAGAGGACAGAACATCAGCATCTTCCACAAGGGTCTCTTCTTGTATCTTGACTCGCACTCAAACCACAGAGGGTGCTGCACTGTAACCTGCAAGCAGCCAAGTCTAGCGGGGGTTGTGGTGGGGTGGGGAGGCATTCACAGGACTTTCTCGTCTATTAATTTATTGATCCCCTCGCAAATCCTCTTGAGGCTGGGCCTAGAGTCCCCATCCAGGCGATAGAGGGTGGTGAGGAACTCCGTGTCGGCAAAGTGATTGAAGACGTGGTTGATACGCCCATGGGTCCTGGGCGTCAGGTGTCGCTGCACCAGTTCGTGCACCAGGTCCTTGCACTCATGCAGAAGCTTGGAGAGCACGTTCTTATCAAAGGTATAGTCCACCTCATAGAAGCTGACCATGGTCATGGCGGTCTGGTTCAGCTTCTTCCTGAACTTCTCCACGATCACCATCTCCTCCGGGCTGAACTGGTTGTTTCGGTAGAGGATCCCGATTTTGATCGCCACCTTGATTAAGTCTTTCATGATCTTGTGGGCTTCCTTCTTGTTGCGGGTGTGCTCTTTGGTGACTTTATAGAGCTCATCGAAGATCTCGCTGCTAGTGTCGTCAATCAGCATGTTGGCCACAGTCTTGCTCGCTAATTTGCTCAAAATCTTCTTCTGGGCTTGAAGGGCAAGGCTTTTGGAACTAAACACATCGGGACCTACGGCAAGGAAAGAAAGAGTTGTAGAAATGTGAGAACCCCTTATAATGGTTCAGGAAACGAAACCCAAACTTGAGCATATGTTCATCGAGCACAAATGTAATGCCTTTATATCCTACAAACCCCACCCTAGAATCCTCGCCACCCCAGTTTCCATTTCTGAACCTTCTAAACTCCTAAGCTCTAAGCTCCTCTCTCTGCTGGAGGGAGAAGTGCCTTCTTCTTATTCAAGCCAAGTCCCACTGTTTCAGACCCACAAGGCCTTCCTGACTCTACTAACTTTACAACTGCCATCACATTCAAAATAACGCAGCTTTGTAAAGTACACAGGAGAAGGGATTGCTTCTTGGCAAGAAGGAAGCCCCATACCAAGCCCCATCCCCTTAGCAGACACGGGTCTTGATCATGGCGGCCTTTGGACTGAGTCGTGGAAGTCTTACGTATGCTTTCACTTGGACACATTGGAAACTGGACCGTGTCTTACAATCCTTGTTGCCAGGTAGCAGCTGCGCTACAGCACTAGTAACCTGGGTGCACATCAATTTAGAGCACAGGTGTAGGTGCGATGGGAGAAAAGCCCAGAAGCAATGCTAACGCATCTCCTCGTCAGAGCTCCTGGTGACCCAGAGACGGCACCACGTGGAAGACCCGCCAGTGACTTCAAGCAGCGAATGTCTCAGAAGAGTCGGGCTCTGAATGGAAAGAAGCCGTAAGGAAACATTTTATTTTGCTGCTTATTTTCCTCTCTATGAATGAATGAGAGCAGTAGGTGAAAACAAAGCAGAACAAAACTATATCCAGATGCACCTAGAACAGCTCTTCCAGCAACTACCAAATAAAATTCTAAGGAATAAAAAAAAAAAAAGCAGTAGTGCTTAACTTGATGGAAAGCTTTGTTTTTTAAAAAATTTCTTCTTCATCAGTTGCTCTTGAGGCTACTTCAGCTCACAGGGCCCCTGCAGAGTGCGCCAGGGTTTTCAATGCCGATTTCTCAGAAATAGATCTTTCTTCCAAAGTGCGTGTGGGTGGACCTGAACTACAGGAGGTGGTACAGGGCAGTGGGCCTCAGAAATGAGTGCATTAAGTGTATGCACCACTCAGAGACTCCTTTCTTTCCCTCACTGCCACCGAGACAATGTCGACTCATAGCGACCCCGTAGGACAGGGTAGAATGACCCCTGTCCATGTCTGAGACTGTGACTGTTTAGAGGAGTAGAGTCCCATCTCTGTCCCGGGAAGTGGGTTTTCAACTGCTGACCTTGTGGATTGCAGCCCAATATGTAACCACTATGCCACCAGGGCTCCCTTCTTGCTTTAAGAACATAGAACATAATGGCATTTACAACTGGTGGCATTTTATTATTATTATTTTGGATTATAAAAATGTCTTCTTTACTCAAGGGCTTTTAAAACATGGTACGGATTTCTTGAATAAAATGGAAAGTTCCCAATACAGTAAAACACACATCCGCAACCACCATACACACAGTACCTGACAGGGAAAATGAAAAACAGAAACACAAAACACCAACAACAGCAAGTTTACACAATGCCTGTAAACTGAGCCTCGTGATCTTATCTTCTGAGGTGCTTTCTCCTCTTGCCAGGGGTGCTCTGTTGGACACAGCCCACCATGGCTGCTGGGGCCACGGGCAGCTGAGAGTGGGGTCCACAGAGCGCAGCTGGCAGGGCGGTGTGGCTCTGTGCATGTGGCAAAGCATTTTAGATTTGATTCAATACTGCATGGAGCCAACAACTGGCTAGAGTTGGTGTGGCAGTTACATAATCTCCTATCAATGAAGGGGTGGAGTCTAGCCTGTCAATCAAGTTGCAGCGTGATGACCTCATTTGGAGGTGCCATGGAGATAAATAGCTCACTGGAGGCCAGATACTTGCTCTGCTTATCTCCCTGCTACACAGTCCTGTTGACAAGTCACATGGAGCTACGCTGATGGACCCAGGGACCTGTGCCAATGCTGAGCTGCTTCCACTGCCACTGGATCCACAAGACTTTCCCCCCACTGGCCTGTGATCTTCCATTGCATGTGTTGCGTGAGTGTGAAGAGGAATTTATAGACTGGTATCGGACATATGGGCTAATATCGGACTTATGGACTTGATCTGGACTGGGCTGGGGTGTTTTATTAATATACAATCACTCTTTTATATAAAGAGCTCTTTCTTACACACATGAGTGCCTCTGGATTTGTTTATCTAGTCTACCAAGACTAACACAGTTGGCATGTGAGTGGAAACTCATCAGCCAGCTTGACTCCTAGACTTATCTTTCCAAGGAGGGTCAAGCTGCCTGAGCGCAGGCACAGTATCTCCCACAGCACCTCGCTCTGGTCACAGCAATGGAACAGTTAGCTATGAAGAAAAGACCAGAGAAATGGGATAAGCCAGGAAGCATTATTATAAAACCACAGAAACCTTTCTTAAACAAAAAGATCAAAATGTGAGGAGGGGTTTCCATCTGGGCGATCCACTCCAAAGGCAGCGTTTCCATCTCTCGGACCTTCCCCAAAGCAGCCTGCACCCTGACCTTTACAGTCCACTCTCGAGGGACCCGGACCGTGTTCCTGTTCCATGTTCTTTAAGTTTGGGGGACAAAAAGATGTCTGAAGGGGCAAGATCAGGACGGGAGGGGGTAGGGTCAGGCTTCCCAGTGCTGCACTCAGGAAATGAGCAGGGCATTGTTGTGATGGAAACAATTCCTTGGTGCAGCTTCCTGGGCTTTTCTTAAAATGTCTTCCTAATGGGTTTCCAGGATCATCCTGCACCTCCCAGGGAAACTCTTTTGAGATTACCCCCCTTGGAATCCACAGACAACCCCCTTGTCATCGCCTTAGTAACTAGCCTCTCTGCCTTGAATTCATCTTTGAGATCTCCCCGACATCCTTTCAATGCTTGATCCATAGAAAAGAAGTTCTTGGTGTGTGTGTGTGTGTGTGTGTGTGTGTAGCAGCATTCTCCTGGGCTTGCTGCAAGCTTCAGTGACCTGGGAAGATGTCCATTTAAGCTGGGTTAAAAAACGTGATATTAACTCCCTGGGCTTCAAAATTATCTTTTCCTCTGGCACAAAATAATCTCTCTCTCTCTCTCTTGTTTTGGAAGGCACCTCAACAAGACTAAGACAAGTGTCTTCCTGAGAGGACTTGCCTGCGGCCATCCACGACTGCAGAGACAGACCGAAGCAGGTTTGATTTGGAGTAAGTTTGTGCAGCTATAAACTGGAAACCCAGCAGTATTTCGTTGTTGACTCACCCTCATATTTCAATAGAAGTATAAAGCAACGCATTGCAGTGCAGATGAAATGTATACGAAGAAACCCGATTTTCCTTAGTAAACATCTTGAGGGTCCTCTAAGAGGTCAGAGTCCCAGGGCTGGCTCTCGGCCCAGCCAGTGTTCTGTGACCACATTGAAGTGGCAGGCAGATGGCCAGATTCCCCAGTATTTGGTCCAGGATCTCCACATATTGTATCCCACCCTCTCTGCTGGCCATCTACCCGCTCCCTCTGTGGTCAGTGATTAATCTCTAGAAGCCCAAGCCTCCCAGACACAGACTCAATAAACACTCGACACACAGTTTAAATAGAGGCCTGACACGCTCCCTGCGTGCCTCGTTCCCTGTATGCCTCTCCCCCTCCCACAGAGGCCCCACAGTGCTACTTCAGCCACGTCTTCCCTAATCAGCAACCCCTCCTGCTCCAGGGCCTCTTCTGACCTCGCTGGTCCCTGCGGGGCATGGTCTGGAGTGCCTGCTTTGCAATCAGCAGAACTCAAGCAGCAGGCTTCTTGGGCACCCACTGCCCCAGGAAACACTGTCCCCCAAGTTAAGAGACCACACAATCTCCACAGCCAGGTGAACCTCACATGCCTGGGGTTTTTCCTTAGACCGCAGTGCCAAGAAAGTAAACCCACTCTCCATGGATGGTGCACAAGGAATGAACAGCATCTCCCTCTCGTCTTTGCTGTGGAAAAAGCTCCAACTTCCCGACAGACACTCTTCCAGAGTTTGAGACAGACATTCCTGCCCAGTTTGATCGCCTACCACGTGATCTCTGTAAGAATGACCTTTGCTCCAAGGGGAGGAAAAATCAGAGTTGTCCTCCAAAGACAAATATTTGCAAGCATTAAGGATGTTCAGAGATTGTGCCGTGTGCTTTGAAGTGAATTCCAAAGCAGAAGCTTAAAGATAAATCTGAGTAATGGCTCTGTCACTGAGCATCAGTGTAGGCCTCCTCTGGCAGATGATTTGGATGCGACTAATGCAATGGAGGTACATCTGTTAGGGAATTAAAAAAAAAAAAGAGTCACATCTTTGTAGTTGCCGTTCCTAAAAACTGTGTGAGTAAGGCATTTTTAAAGGCTCTCTGGAAAACCAGCCAACATGCGTTTACTCAGGCACAGTGGAGCTCCTGGGAGGTGCCAACAGTTAATGAACTTGGCTCTGATGGAAAGTTGGAGGCTTGACTTCACCCCAAAGTACCCAGAATAAAGACCTGGTCATCTACTTTGAAAAAAACCACCCAGTGAACACCCTAAGGAGCATGGTTCTATGCTGACACGCATCAGGACGCCAAGAGTTACAATCCACCCAATGGCAACTGATTATGCCCTTCTACCCACAGCATTTTTAAGTCCGGCTAAAACGTACAGAACAAAACATATGGCAGCTCAACAATTACATGTACAATTCTGTGACGTTGATTATGACACCCTTGAAGTTGCAAAACTCCCCGTACCTCCTTTCCTTTCCCAAGGTACTTTAAGACCATTAGCATGTCCATACCCTATGGCCCCAAGTAAGAACTGCCCCCTTGACCCTCCTTCTACCCCTGGGGACCTTTGTGGTTTCTGTATGTTGCTCACCATGGAGCCCCTGCAGCATAGGGGGCCACACGTCGGGCTGCTAACCACCAGGTCAGCAGTTCGAATTCACCAGAGGAGGCTTTCTGCTCCTATCAAGGGTTCCATGGGGCTGCTATGAGTCAG